GAGGACGAATAAAAATAAAACTAGTCTCCATAAACTATTATAAAGTTTGAGAACACGATTTGTAATAAAACCCATTTCATTAAGGGTAAAATGAACTTTTATATAAAAAATTCAAATGGATCATTTGACCTGGCTAATTTGAAAATTCTCTCCCCGCCCCCATTCCCTTTTGGTTTTATTTAATTATTTTAACAATTTTATACGATAATATTATAAAGTTATCATTTTATCCATTTTTAAACATATTAGTAGCCTGTTTGGTAGGGATTTTTGGGGGGAAAATTGATTTTTGAATAGTGATATGATGGGAAATGTGTGGTTGAAAAAGAAAAAAAAATTATTGATGTGATGGAAAATATTATTTTATTGAAAAATGTGTGGTTGAAAATAAGAATTAATTTACTGTAGAAAATCAANGTAGATTTGATTTTTGAATAGTGATATGTTGGGAAATGTATGGTTGAAAAAAAAAAAAAATTATTGATGTGATGGAAAATATTATTTTATTGAAAAATGTGTGGTTGAAAATGAGAATTGATTTATTATAGAAAATCAAAATCCATACCAAACAGGCCCTAGAAATGTGGCCAAACTTAAATTTTTGGCTAGCTAACAAAAAAGTGGTTGGATTCCATTGAGGCCTCAACTGCAACGTTTTGAAAAGGTTATGAAGTGACGGATGTAACAAATAAAAGATTAAAGGAAAATCTATAAATGTTTGAAAGGTTTTGGGTCTCTGCTGCAATTATCCCTTAAAAAATTAAAATATAGAGGTCAAAATGATACTAAGTGCAAAGTTACATGGCCATAAATAAAATTAATCCTTTTTAGCCCCCTTCGGCCCCTATTAGCAGCAAATCTGAAACCTACCCGCTCCGAATCAACCAAAATTGAATTCATAAGAGAAAATCTTGTACAAATCAAGCCCAAACAAGATCAATGGCTGCTTCAACTACTTTTTATTCAAAATTTTCTTCCTTAAATTCTGAAATATAATTAACTCAAATATATGAGTTCGTAAATTTCTGACTTTTTATTCAATTAGATCAAGTGTGTTCACATGAAGTGCAAGATTAGCATGCAGAGTTGTGGAATTCAAAAATTAGATGAAATAAAGTGACATTGATAGAAACCATTTTTATTTTAAGAAAAATGTTTCATAAAAGGTAATTATATTAATACCTCAATTTTTATTTCTTGCGCCACTTTCTAATTGTATTTAAAGTTCTTAATTTTTGCTCATCATAGCA